TCAATGTTATTTTGGGGGGGGGGGGGGTCTTACCATTGTGAACTTTGCTTTGCCTTTGGTGACACGAGTACTGGCTTCTGTCAAATTATCTTTCATTGTTGCCTGCAATACACAATGCCTTCTTAGTGACTTCAGAAAAAGTGGTGCAGAAGCATAATTGAAAATTTTAAAACAAAATTAAAGTGGAAAATCTTGAAAATATCTAGAAAATAATTTTACTATAAGGAATTGGTCATTGAAACGTATGTAAAGCCTTTGTTTTATATGGCAAAATAATTCCATTATCTTACCAATGCCAGGAAAAAAAACTAAAATCCTAAAAGGAAAATAAAACTCTAATCTAAAAGGAAAAACAAATCCTACTGTAATAATAACTAACTACTATCCAATTTATAATAGGATTGTCCTACATCAATTATAACTGAACTCCTACAGGGCTGGTCCTACATAATAGAATTGTGTGTTAACAGAAGTCGGTTGGGAAAAAAAAAAAAGAGACAACACTCTATATGAAATTCCACTTTTATGAAAACAACACTTGATAAAAAATTATTCTTGAAGGAAGATTCCCTCATCAATGCAAACGTACATGTTGTGGCTGGAAACATACTTCTTGGAGTTGACATAGTAACAAAATTATAAATAGAACCACAATTTTTTTTCTTGCATTGATGCTTACAAAGCCTTATGCATATAAGATAATTAACAATTAAAACTCTCAGTGAGGAATTTAAAATGTAATAGTGAAAGGACAAGCTAAAAACTTTGATGAAAAGTGGAACAAAATGATAAATTCATCAACGGAGGATTCCTTGACAACTTAATTTCAACATCGATAATAGAAAATATTAAGAACTCCAATGTAATATGTTACACTGACGATCTCCAACTGATGTTCATCAAGACCAAAGGCCAATTGCCAAAATCACAAAAGTGTTTTAGAGGTCATCTTCGGGCTCCAAAAAAGAATGAAAATCTCTCAACTCCCATTTGGAATACAAAAATATGTTTTGCATAATCGATAACCAATTCAAAATCGCCTAGGAAAAAAATTATTCTCTCAGCTCCCGTTTTACATTAAAAAAAATAATAATTCAGATCTACATACACGTATTAGACACAAGTTAAATTCAACTAATTAAACATGACACGACCACACGGGTGATATTTATTCTCAGATGCACAAACCTGGTCAGCGGTGGCCGGGGGGTGGCGAGCGAAGGTGTGATCGGCAGAAGAATGGGCGTAAATAATAAAAGGTTGACTCTTAACGGTTTCTCTTTTTTATAAATTAATTTTTTAATTAAATGGGTCGGGTCGGGTTTTATAAGAAATTTTAACCAACTGAGAAAAAACACCTTGAACTGAAATTAGGGTTAGGTTTTGATGGGCTTAGTCATTTTTTTATTGGATTTGAAGGGTTGGATATTGAGGAAATTAGGCCCATACGACCTTTGAGTTTGAAAATTGATTGGTACAGCAAAATTTAATTTTTGTTTTTTTTATCAACCTTTAATATAACGTAGTTTATACGTTCAGCCCAAAATTAAACCATAATCCACTTATTGCTGCCACGTGACTAGAAGTGATGAATGTGATGTTGTTGAAGGATCTTCAATGAAATAGAAAATTCGTGCTCCACAAGCATGAAAATCTAATGTTTAGCTCTATTTGCTTATTTGCAAATCTGTTTATGGCTTCGAACCTCACTTTGAATTGCTCTATTTTGCTCAATCGTTTTTGTAAGTCAAGGCTTAATTGAAGTTGTTCTCTAGAAAATCCTGACTAGTGTTCTTATTGATTGACTGAATTTAAAGAGAGAGAGAGAGAGAGAGAGAGAGAGAATACAAATTGTTTGAAAATGTAATTCATTCTTTTTTTCAAATGGAGATTTTTCATTTTGTATAAAGATCTTTATTGTTCCTTTTTGTTCCTATTCTGTCTTGCTATTTATTTTCATTCTTGTTTTGGCTTGTCCATTCATGCTGTGGAATAAAGACTGTTTGATTTTTCTAACCCACTACGTACCACTTTAAATTTACAATCATTGGTGATGTTATAAAACTATTATCTGACCAAACATTTTTTTTTTCGTAGGATTGGGAGCCACCAATTGATGATTGGTTTCCTTACAAAGTTACTGTTTACTAGCCTCATATTGTTGTTAAAGATTATTGATGATGTTATAAAACTAATATTGATTTGAAGAAAGTAGTTATACAAGCTCAGTTGATTCATCGTCATTGTTAAGGCAAGTAGCCTAACATAAAAGAAATGTGGCTCATCGCATGAGGCAAAATTGTTAGATATTCTATTGAAGAGTTTTATCTATCGTCAACGTAGTGAATTTCATGTTGATATAATAGATTGCAATTCTCTTCATTTAGTTCAAAATATGCATTATAATTTTTCTTTTTGTGCCAAATGAAATAGTCTTGTTTTGTATTGTTATGTTGTTAATCGTTATCTTATCTCTATCTTAAGTAAGTTAGTGTTGTTTCTACTAAGGCAATGATTGGTAGTGTCTTTAGCTTTATACCCATATATCATATTGCCTCCTACACAGAGTAATGTATATATTCAAAATTGCTTTCCCTTCTTGAAGATTGGTATCAAATGTCCTGATTATAGTTGGTATTCAATATTACTTTTTGTGTTGTCGTCACTTTTTTAAATATTTATTACTTTTTTAAATTATTGTCACTTTATTGAATAACCTTTAAATTTAAGTTAATATGTTAGTTAATAGAAGTACAAACATATCAACCATCCCCCTCAATCTATGCTAAGGTTTTGATTGATGCTATATTATTTGTCACTTTTTTTTGAATTTTTGGCACTTCTTTTTTATTGTTTGTTTCTACTTTTAAAAAAATTCCTGTCACGACTCGTGGTTTGGATTAGGATGTTTTCGATTTCAACCCAAAACTAAAACCAAATAGTTGGTTTGGACGAATTTCAACTCAAACCTAACCAACTCTTAAATTGAACCGAACCAAATTGAATCGGTTTGGTTAGGATTGGTTAGTTGATTTGAACTTTTAGTCCAGATTGAATTTAAAAAAAAAAAAAATTGTCCCAGTTTTTGACCCACTTAGATTACAAAAACTAAAGTAATCAAATAATTTTATATTGCAAGAACTATTACTTTCAATGCTATTACTTAATGACAACATCATAGATTGAATGAAATTGAGATATATTTATGAGATTAAGGCTTATCTTTAATTTTTATCTTTCTTAATTTTTTTATTTAAAAAAAAAGAAAGAAAGTAAACAAGTAAATAGGTTGGGTTGGTTCGATTCGGTTAACCAACGATTTGAGATATCAAATCATAACTGAACCAATCCATCATGATTTTATTTAAAGGAAAATCAAATCAAACCAATTATTCATGTCGAATCGACTCGAACCAATCCAAATCAATTCGATTTGATTCGCTTGTGATAAGCGTGTTTATTTGGTCCACAAAATATGACTAATTGTTGATAAAAATGATTGAATATGGCTTGATTCTATTTAATTTCGTTCTGTAGGATTATGTTGATGGATAGGACGGAATTCACGTGAAAAGATACAAAAAAGGAGAAGACACGAGGTTTTGGAAGAAAAAGAAATGGAAAAGGAGGTTTAGAAATATGAGAAAGGAATTGAAGAACTAAAATGCATCACTTGAAAGACTGGATGACTTGGAAGATAAATTGTGCATTGGAATTGAAATAAGGCCTCGTGTGCACTTGGATCAAAAAATTTAATGGCCTATGGGAATAGTAAATGCAAGGGATTCTGCCGACTGAAGGAAATGAAACTAAAAAAATATTGGCCTTAGTTTAGACTCTATTTGGTATCAAAGTTAATCATGACTTGGACTCCTAATTTGTCTACATCACAAGGGTTTAATTTTCAGGTTTTGTCTCATATATATAGACAGCAAGCCGAGAGAAAGAGATGTGCCGAGGAGAGCTGAATTTCAGAAATATGTATTGACAGAAAACGGCATATTCAGGCGGCCGGAAATGGAAGTACGGAATTAATAAAGTCGGCCAGCTGCGGGGATTGAATATTTGTGTTGAATTGAATATAGAATACACGCACAAGAAAGAACAGACTTTGGAAGAAAGTCGGCGGCAGAAATATGGATTTGAGAAATTATTCTCGTTTGATCAAAATTTGGTGATATCTTTCCACTTTTCATTGTTTAATTTTCACATTATTTTGGTTAAATCATTATGTGCTACGATTTGCGATAAACCTTAAAGTGTGAACCTGAATTTTATTTATTTTGACGTTAAAACATGTTTTTTTATTATTGAATGATTGACATGGATTTTATTTTCTCTACAATTGTATGCACAATAATTGTATGAGTTTTGTGACTTGTTTTACCCTCTAGAGATGGAAAATAAGTTAGCTATTATGTCAATTGTCTTAAGGTCCGATAGGCGATAAAAATATACTGCTATGTTTTACGCAATATTTAATTATTCATAAATCTTTAATACATTTTTATATGTTCGCATCCGTCATAAAAATATAGTAGGGTCACATGTAAAAATATGTTTAATTCTATTCAAGAGAGATTGTTAAGCAATTGGTTTTCATAATTGAATTGTTGTCAAATTTATAAAATTTGGGTTAAAGGGGATTGATATAAGGGGATTCGGGATCCTAGTACGCATTCCTTCATCATATTTTTATAAAGCTTGCATTTAGTTATAATCACGCATTTAGTTTAGTTAACTTAGGCCTTACATTTATGAGTAGATTATTAAATCATAATTTAGTTAGCGAAAAATCACGAATTTCTATTATTTCGGTTAAGGTGAAGATAATTTAAATTTAACTAATACAGTCTCTGTGGAACGATACTTGGACTCAAAATCTACTTTATTACTTGTTAACGAACCGAACACTTGCGATGATTTTAATTCGAAAGATAATTTCGTGAACAAATCTTTGGCGCTGTTGCCGGAGACTGTATTTTAGTTTAATTTCATTTATCTTAGCACTAATTCGAACTTTTTTTTCTTTTATTTATTTTTATTATTATTTTACAGTTATTTTAGAATTTTCATTTTCTCTTGCAGATATTTTATGCGAAATTCGAGGGACGGTGAACTGATACCAGCTGATCCAGAAATCGAACGTACTTTTCATCGTAGACAAAGAGAAGCAAGAGAAATAAAACAACAAGAGATGGTCAACACACAAAATAATCCGATTATTGAAATGAACGAAGGAGTTGTGGTCGATGAAGGGAACATGCTGGTTGGGAACTTCATGACTCCACAAATTATTCAGAGCGAATCTAACATCGTTTACCCTCCGTTTGGGCAGCCGAACTTTCAGTTGAAAACCAATGTCATCCAGTTGTTTCAAAATGGACATCAATTATATGGTGGAAATTTCTAAATGTACATAATGAAATCCCGAATCTTGTATATAATGCTGATGTGACGATAAATTTGAATCAAAAAAACGTGTAGTGTGGTCAAAATATCTTCTATAGGGTTAGGGTTCATTTCACAAGAAAATCACAATTTCTCTCACTTTCCTCTATCTTCAGACGCTCTCTCTCTGTCTATATGGGTGGGGTTCATTTAACATTTCACAGGAAAATTCACAATTTCTCTCTCTTTCAGACGCACTCTCTCTCTCTCTCTAAACAGGGGACGAAATCCCTTTCTGCAACCCTCGATTTATATTGGGGACGAAGAGTTCCGTCAAATAGCCGGTGGCGAGGAGAACGGGGAAGACGACGGCATCACAATTTTTCAAATCTTCAGTGGTGAAGAGCTCATTCAGGTTGAGATTTGAAACGATTTTATACCCATTTTTGGTATTATTTTCACTTCTTTTTTGGTATTATTTTAACTTCTTTTTTGGTATTATTTTCACTTCTTTTTGGAGCTATGGAGCGATAGGCATTATTTTCATGTTTTCACTAAGATATTTTCACGAGAGTAGAAATTTTCACAAAAATTGTAGCTATGTTTTTGGCAAATTTACAAGAAGAAGCATAAATTTTCACCACAGTAGAAATTTTCACGAAATTTTCACAATTTATCCCATAAACATAGCTGCAATTTTTGTGTTGGTGCAGCAACTTCGGAGTTATTAGATGTAATTGGGCTTACTTAGATTCGAACAATATGTAATATGTAATTTACGAACAAGTGATTTTTTT